TCTTGTCAGCATGACAACTCAGATGAGCGTTACGTGTCCTGCACCTGACTGAAAATGCATCCAAGCCCATATTGCACACAGCTTCATCTCAGGGCCAAAAAGAAACAGTGCAAAGATGTTTAGAAGATTCTTGGTGCAGATGAAGGCGCAGGGTGCGTACGTATTCTCTTCAATTCTCTTCAGTAATAAATATTGATTCATAATCCAAAGATAACTTATCAAGAAGTAGCATGAAAGGTCAATGAAAAGGAAATTACACGACAAACTATTTTCATTTAAGAAATCCCTGCTAAACCTCTCCCCATCAAAGAGGGAGCATCCTGGGCACTGTTAGCAGCAGTTCGGACAACATCCTGCACTACAAGATGCGACACAGTCTTTTTTTCTTCATTAACAAGCCCCTCCTTTCTCTACTTAGCATCAGATTCCCTCAAGTTCAAACACGAGGATCAGAACAGCCGCTCAGTCCTGCTGAGAGGAACCCACGGCTGGGATGTCCCCCCTTCCCGTTCCACGCTATTTCCAGCATCGGGGGGGAAAGGAGGAGCGACTGCCATCACCTACCCAGGCTTCTGCGAGGCCTTCCATACGCTCACACATCACAGGGAGAAGCATGGCGGAGAGCTCTCGTGCCACAAAGCTCGGGGCTGCAGAAATCAAGGTTGCCCCCAAGACGCCGTTTGTAACAACATGATTTACTGCACGTGAGACATGAAAGACAAGGTTAAGGTGAAAAAGCCTCCAACCCCGTGGAAGTGGCTGTCTGCACAGACAACAGCTGCCTGCTGTCCAGCAGCCTGATGCTCACCCACCAAAGCACTCGCCCAGCAGATGCCTTTCACAGAATCATAGAATTAGCAAGCTTGCAAAAGATCTCCAAGATCATCCAGTCCAACCGTCCACCTACCACCAAATTTCCCCACTAAGCCACGTCCCTCACTGCCACATCTAACGTTTCTTGAACGTCTGCAGGGACAGTAACTCCATCACCTCCCTGGGCACTCCTGTGGAGAAGTGTTTCTTAACATCCAGCCTCAATCTCCCCCCGTGCAACTGGAGGCCACTCCCCCCAGTCCTATCGCTACTTACACGGGAGAAGAGGATGACCCCCACCTCAACATAATCTCTCTTCAGCTCATTGTAGAGAAGGATGAGGTCTTCCCTGAGCCTCCTCTTCTCCAGGCTAAATAATCCCAGTTCCCTCAGCCAGCCGCTCCCCGTAAGACTGGTGCTCTACACTCCTCACAGCTTCACTGCTCTTCTCTGGCAATATCTCCGGGATTCAGTGTCCTTCTTGTAGTCAGGGACTCAGAACTGAACACAGCACTCAAGGTGAGGACTCACCAGAGCTGAGTACAGGGGGATGATCACATCCCTGCTCCTGCTGGCTCCAGCCCTTTGCACTGCACTTCCAATCTCAACCCGTTCCTTCTGCAGTAGCGCTTGCATCCTCACTTAGGGCTGGAGCTCAAGAGCTCAACACAACAGGAAGAACACAGCGTGCAACTGGAAGATGCGTCTCAAAGCCGACAAGAGTCAACTCTCTGAACTTGGGCACTACTCGCCAACCGAGAGTCAGGCCTTGCCAGCTTGGCTCATCTGAGCACATCAGACGGGGCTGTACATCAGACCACAAGCATCCATTGCAATTGCAGCTCCACATAGAGAAGAATGCCAATTAACAGGTGTGAATGAATTTACTCGCAAGCTGCACAATGAGTCTGTTCTTCATTAAAAAACCCACTTGGATTCCTAAGCCAAAAAGAGAACAGCAAGAGCTAATAGTGATGGAAGATGTTCCTGGTCCTAAACCTCATTCTCTTACCCCAATTTTCTTTGCCTCGTACCCTACCCCAACTCCTGGACGATGCCCACAGCCTTAAACTCAGACCTCAACTCCATGAGCTGAACATCAACCAATCTACCCCGGAGCAACAGGATGGCAGACACACAGTGGAAGACAACCAACTTGCAGAAGCAGCTCCGTTGGGGTTGGTCCAGATGTTTGTGTGCTGCCTTCCATGGCCCAGGCCAAGCTTGCTGAGCTGCTCCTCCTTTGTGCAGGGGGAGAGCTGTGCAGATGCTATGTGCTGGCTATGCACAGCGTGCCTTTCACTTTATTTTCCTCTCTCCATCTTCCATTAGCAAACAGCATTTCAAATCTTTCCTCTTGAAAAAATCACCTATGTAAAAAAGAATTGGCAATCTTGCTTTTGAAGTTTCCTTATTTGTACAACTTGATGTTTTAAAGCCGAAGCTCACCTAGCAGTGACCTACCTTAGACAAGCCCAACCTGCAGGGAAAAGTCATTCCTCTGCATGCAAAGTCTGCAGACACATTTCCAGGTGCTAGTGTCAGCCCACTTCTCAGCACAGCTTTACCAACCACAGAAATCCAGCTTACGCCCGCCGTGCTTTTCTCTCTTCTGAAACACTGCATCGCTGCAAGAAGCAAGAATTAAAATCACAGAACCACAGAATTGGGGTTGCAGGGGACCCCCAGTGATCACCGAGTCCAAGCTCCCTGCAAAATGGACTCCCTACAGCAGGCTGAGCAGGTGGGTATCCAGGAGGGTCTGGAATATCTCCAGACAAGGAGAAGCCACAGCCTCCCTGGGCAGCCTGTTCCAGCGCTCCATCATCCTCGCTATGAAGAAGATCCTTTGCATTTTGGTGCAGAACTTCCTGTGCTCCAGTTTATGGTCATTTCCCCTTCTCCCGTCCCCACAGATCACTGAGAGGAGGTTGGCCATGTCCTTTGGACTCCCACACTTAACAAATACGTAAGCATTAATCAGATCTGCTCTCAGTCGTCTTTCCTCAAGGCTGAACAGACCCAGGTCCCCCAGCCTTTTCATACTGAGGAGATGCTCCAGGCCCTTTAGCATCTTCCTGGCCTTCTGTTGGACTCTCTCCAGGAGATCCCTGTCATTTCTGTACCAGGAAGAGAGCCCAGAGCTGGATGCAGTACTGCAGGTGAGGCCTGACCAGGGCAGAGCAGAGAGGGGGGGGATCACCTCCCCTGCTCTGCTGGCCGCACTCCTTTTAAAGCGCCCCAGGATGCCATTGGTCTTCTTGGCCAGCAGGGCACACTGTTGGCTCACAGCCGACCTGTTGTCCACCAACACCCCCAGGTCCTTCTCTGCAGAGCTCCTCTCCAGTGGGTCACATCCCAACCTCTACTGATATTTGCGGTTATTCCTTCCCAGGTGCAAGACTCTTCACTTGCTTTTGTTACATCTTACCTGGTTTGTTTCTGCCCAGCTCTCCATCCTGTCCAGGTCTTGCTGAATGGCAGCACAGCCTTTTGGCGTGCCAACCACTTCTCTCCCAGCTTTGTCTCATCAGTGTACTTACTAAGTGTGAACATATCTCCTCATCAAGGTCACTGATGAAGATATTGAGAGACCTTGAGAGAAACATTCAAAGTCACAAATCTCAGGTTAGGCAAAAATCTTAGGGATAGCAGCAAAGTTTATTTTTTATTGCAATAACAGGCACGTGCTCCCTATTAGCAAGGGAGAAATTGCACATCGGTCAGTGAAATTCATCCTGTTCTGTACTCTGACCCCAACGCAGGTAATGCTCTCCTGGCGCTCATTGGTTGAGCGTCTAGGCTCACAATCTCGCCTATGCTGTTGCTATGATATACTTCCATATAAGGTCCATTACCAAACTGCTCTTTTTGGTATGTTTTGTACTTCTTCATGGAGATAGGAGAGCCATATTTCCAAGCATGAGCACGTTTGTTCTGTCCTGTGCTGGATGCTCTCTCTCTCTCTCTCTCTCTCTCTCTCTCCACCCTGCATATTTGCCTTATTTTGTGCCCAGCTCAATTCAGAACACCACAGATCTTTAACTTTTCACTCTGCTCAGCAACTTTCTTAGTGGAAGGAAAACATTTATTTCATAAGAGGGTTGTAAGTTCAGTAAAGGCCAGTACTACATACAGGAAATACTACAGCTTCTACAGCAAAAACACAATCTCCCCTTCACAACCAGACCCAGCACCAACCCCCGGGAGCACCGCCACTCACAGCTCTCCAGCCGCACTCTGCGCCGCCGATCACGACCACTGAACTCAGCAAGTAAACCAGTTCTCAACCCACCTCATCATCTACTCATCTATCCCACACTTTCTCAGCTTCATTACCAGGATGTTGTGGGAGACAGTATCAAAAGCATTGCTTAAGTCAAGGCAGGCAGATGACATCCACTGCAGCAGCACCTGAAATAGTCCTTCCCACTCAGGCTGAAGCCTTGATTTCTTCCAGGTGCATATTAGGACCAGTCTCCAACACGGGATGAGTGCACTGGAAATTCCAGAGGTGGAGTTTGAGCCAACAGTCCACATTCCTTAAGGAGTAACAGAGCAGCAGACAACCCGAGTACACAGTTCTGAAGAAACTTACCCTTGGTTTCAAGAGCGGGCATCTCACCACTCCCAAGTACAGCAACCCAAGCAGCACTTCGTATGGTGATACTCCTAAGCCTTTTCTGTGAGTGGTTCATATTCTGACAAGGGCTACAGGCAAACACTTTGTCCATAGTAATTTGGTCTCTAAAATCAATTTTGACAAGTGCTTTTTCAGCATCTGATTGATTCATTCTACTTTCCCTGAAAAAGGAGGGTGCCACCAAGTATGGAGCTCCCACTTCATTTCTAAAGCTCTCATTAGCTCCTGTAGGACTTGTGAAGTAAAGAGGCTTCCCTTATCCAAGTCTATATTCTGCATAATCCCATATCTAGGGATTGTGTCTGGATGTAGAGTCCTCAGTGCAGAAGAGACATGGACTTGTTGGATCACATCAGAGGATGGCCACAGAAAAAAAGAACCAGGGGATCAAACAGCTCTCCTTCAAGGACAGTCTGAGAGCTGGGGCTGTTCAGGCTGAAAAAGTGAAGGCTTCGAGATGACCTAGTAACAGCCTTTCAATACTTAAAGGGAAGCAAAAGGAAAGAACAAGGGAAAAATTAGGTCAGATGTAAGGAAAGTATCTTTTTACAGCAAGGGACAAGGGGAAATGGTTTGAAGTTGAGGGAGGGGAGATTGAGGTTGGATGTTAGGGGGAAGTTCTTTACTATGAGAGTGGTGAGGTGCTGGAACAGCTGCCCAGAGGCTGTGGATGCCCCGTCCATCCCTGGAGGTGTTCAAGGGCAGATTGGATGGGGCCCTGGGCAGCCTGGTCCAGTATGAAATGGGGCCCTGCATGTGGCAGGGAGTTGGAGATTCATGATCCTCGAGGTCCCTTTCAACCTGGGACATTCGGGTTGTTATTCTGTGATTCTGGGCAGTGGAACAGGCTGCACAGAGAGGCGGTGGATGCCCTGTCCCTTCCAAGGTGAGGCTGGATCAGGCTCTGGGCAGCCTGATCTAGCTATGGATGTGCCTGTTCACTGTGGGGGAGTCGGACTAGACCATCATAAGTGGTCTCTTCCGACTCTAAGGAGCCTATGGCACAATACCTGAAGCCGTGAGGCACAACGGCACAAAGAACATCAATGGCCTGGTGAGCAATCAGGGCAGGCAGGAAAGCCCGCGTGCTCAACAGCACCAGGGAAACTCACCAAGCAGTCCAACCAGGAAGATCCACATCAGCCACAGAGCCTCTCCATGACAGTCCCAGTATTCAGCAGACCAGAGGCCTTGTTTCACCACACTGTTGGGTCCCGTAGCTGCAGAGCTAGCTACTCAATGGGAGTCAGGGGATGGAAGGAAGAAGGTGGGGGGGAGG